CCCAGCACCCCTGCAAACCTGTGTGGCCACAGATCTCCCAGTACAGACTTCAGCACCCAGACTTCAGCACCTATAATCCCCAGCACCTAGACCAGCACCCAGACCCTCAGCCCAACACCCTCTCAAACACCTAGACTCAGCACCCACACCTCTCAGCACACAGACTCAGCACCCACACCTCTCTAGCACACAGACCTCAGCACCCAGACCTCATGAAGCCCAGATCTTTCTACACCCAGGGCCTCTCAGAACACAGACCTCTACATCCAGACCCTCAGTACCCAGACTTCAGAACACAGAGACCTCCAGCACCAGGAACCCAGTGCCACAGACCTTCAGCACAGACTCTCTTCAGCACCCAGACCTCATCACCCAGACCTCTCAGCACCCAGACCTCAGCACTTCTGACCGCTTAGCACCCAGACTCCTCAGCACCCACACCTCTCAGCACACAGACCTCAGCACCCAGACCCCAGCACCCACACCCTCTCACACACAGACCCCCAGCACCCAGATCTCAGCAATTCAGACTCTACGGCGCCCAGATCTCGAGCACCCAGGCCTCTCAGAACAGAGACTCCTCAGCATCCAGATCTCTCAGTTCCTAGACTTCTAGAACACAGACCTCTCTAAAAGCACCTGAATTCAGTACACAGATCTCTAGTACAGACTTCAGCACAGAGACTTTCAGCACCCAGACCTCTCTGTGCGCACCTAGACCCCAGCACCAAGACCCCCAGCACCCAGACCTCAGCACCCAGACCTCTCACCACCCAGATCTCAGCACCCACACCTCTCAGCACACAAACCTCAGCACCCAGACCTCAGCACCCACACCTCCAGCACAGACCTCAGCACTCAGACCTCAGCACACACACCTCTCAGCACACAGACCCCAGCACTCAGACCTCACAGCATCCAGACCCTGTAGCACCCAGACCCCAGTACCCAGACCTCTCAGCACCCAGAATTTCAGCACCCACACCCCAAAGGCCACAGACCTCCGCGCACACAGATCTCAGCACACCTCTCAGCACATACACCCCAGCACACAGATCTCAGCACCCAGACCCCAGCACCTGTAGGACCTCAGCACCTACACCTCCCAGCACACAGACCTCAGCACAGACCTCAGCACCCACACTCAGCACACAGACCCTGTGCACCCAGATCTCAGCACCCAGACCTCGCGGCGCCCAAACCTCCCAGCACCCAGGCTTATCAGAACACAGACCCCTCAGTATCCAGACCTCTGCACCCAGACTTCAGAACACAGACCTTTCAGCACTCAGAATCCCAGTACACAGACCTCTCAGCACAGACTTTCAGCACCCACCTCAGCACCAAGACTTCTACACCCAGACCTCAGCACCGAGACCTCTCAGCACACAGACCCCAGCACCCAGACCCTGTAACCAGACCCCAGCACCCACACCTCTGGGCAGCACATAGACCTCTAGCACTGAGATTTGAGCACCAGACCTGCGCCCAGACCCGCCAGCACCCAGGCCTCTCAGAACACAGACCTCTCATCATCCAGACCTCTCAGTACCCAGACTTCTCAGAAACACAGAATCTCCCAGAACCTGTGAAATCAGTACACACACTTCCTCAGCACAGACTTCAGCACCTAGACCTCAGCACCCAGACCCCCAGCAACCAGACCTCAGCACCTACACCTCTCAGCACACAGACCCTCAGCACACAGACGTCAGGAACCCACACTGTCAGCACAGACCCCAGCACCCAGATCTCAGCATGACCTCATGCTTCTGTGATCTCTCAGCACCAGGCCTCTCAGAACAGAGCATTTCAGCATCCAGACCTCTCAGTACCCAAACTTCTGGCACTCAGACCTCAGCACCCAGAACTCAGTACACAGACTCTAGAACAGACTTTTTCTAGCACCCAGACCTCAGCACCCAGACCTCTCAGCACTGAGACCTCTACCATCCAGACCCCAGCACCCAGACCTCTCTAGCAACCAGACCTCAGCACCCTACACCTCTCTACCACACAGACCCCCAGCACCCAGACCTCAGCACCCACACCCTCTCAGCACACAGACCCCTGCACCCAGATCTCAGCAACTACACCTCTCAGGCAACAGACCTCAGTGCACTCAGACCTTAGCTCCTACACCTCCCCACAGACCTCAGCACCTGTCTCTTACCCAGACCCTCAGCACTCCACACCTCTCAGCACACAGACCTCTCAGCACCCAGACCCCAAAGTGCACCCACACCTTTAGCACATGTGACCTCAGCACCCAGCCTCAGTACTCAGACGTGTCAGCACCCACACCTCTCAGCACAGAGACCTCAGCACCCACACCTCTCAGCACACAGACCCCAGCACCCAGATCTCAGCACCCAGACCTCGCGGCGCCCAAACCTCCCACCCAGGCTTATCAGAACACAGACCCCCAGCATCCAGACCTCCTACCTAGACTTCTCAGAACACAGACCTTTCAGCACCCAGAACCCAGTACAATGTGACCCTGTAGCACAGACTTTTCAGCACCTGTGACCTCAGCACCCAGACTTCCTGGCAAAGCAGGACCCAGCAGCGCACCCAGACCTCCCAGCACACAGACCTCACCAGACCTCAGCACCCACACCTCAGTACAGACCAGCACTCCCAGATCTCAGCACTTGGGAGATCTGCGCGTCCAGACCTCTCAGCACCCAGGCCTCAGAATACAGACCTCAGAACCCAGTCCCCAGCATCCAGACCCCCAGCACACAGACCCTGCGCCACAGACCCCAGCACCCAGATCTCAGCACCCAGACCCTCGCAGAGCGCCAGACCTCCTGCCAGCAGCACCCAGGCCTCCAGAACACAGACCCCAGCCTAGACCTCTCGCAGTACCCAAGACTTCTGAACAGAGACCTCTCAGCACCCAGAACTCAGTGCACAGGCTTCTTTAGCACAGACTTTTCAGCATCCATGACTCTCAGCAACCAGACCTCAGCACCCACGCCCTCAGCACAGACCCCAGCACACAGACCACAGCACCCACAACTCTCAGCACACAGACCCCAGCACCCAGATTCACCCAGACCTTGTGGCGCCCAGACTCTCTCAGCACCCAGGCCTCTCAGAACACAGATCTCAGCATCCAGACCCTCAGCACTGTGACTTCTCAGAATCAGACCTCTAGCACCCAGAACCAAATAGACCTGCCAGACTTTTCAGCACCCAGACCTCATGCACCCAGACCTCTCAGCACCCAGACCTCTCAGCACCTAGACCTCAGCACCCAGACCTCTGCACCTAGACCCCAGCACACACCCCCCTGGGCACAGACCCCAGCACCCGCTACACCTCAGCACCCACACCTCTCAGCACACAGACCGCAGCACCCAGACCTCAGCACCCACACCTCTCAGCACACAGGACCCTGTGCACACAGACCACAGCACCCACATCTCTGTGCACACAGACCCCAGCACCCAGATCTCAGCACCCAGACCTCGTGGGCGCCTGATCTTCACAAAGCACCCAGGCCTCAGAACACTGACCTCTCAGCATCCAGACCTCTCAGTACCCTGACTTCTGTGAACACAGACTTTCTCAGCAACGAAGAACCAGTGCAGACCTCTCTGGCATGGACTTTTCAGCACCTGTAGACCTCAGCACCCGACCTCTTTGCACCCACTCCCCAGCACCACGCCTCCCCAGCACCGACCTCAGCACCACACCTCTCACCAGACTCCTGTGCACCCAGACCTCAGCACCACACCCCTTCAGCACACAGACCTCAGCACCGGGACCCCAGCACTCACACCTCTCAGCACGCAGACCCAGCACACACAGACCCTGTAGCACCCACACCTCCCAGCATACAGACCTAGCACCTAGACCTCGTGTGTGGCGCCTGTAGACCTCCCAGCACCCAGGGCCTCTCAGAACACAGACCTCAGCATCCACCCCTAGCACCCAGACTTCTCTCAGAACACAGACCTCTCAGCACCCAGAACTCAGCACACAGACCTCTGTGCACAGACTCTGCACCCAGACTCCCAGCACCCAGACCTCTCTGGCATCCAAACCTCCCCAGCACCTGTGGACCCTCAGCACCCAGACTCCCAGCACCTACACCTGTCAGCACACAGACCTAGCACTCCAGACCTCGCAGCGCCCACACCTCTCAGCAATCTGTGGCCTTCTCAGAAATACAGACCCTCAGCATCCAGACCCTCAGTACCTGGACTTCTGTGAACACAGACCTCAGCACCCAGAACTCTGCACATGATTCCTCTGTGCACAGACTTTAGCACCAGACCCCCTGACACCCAGACCTCAGTGACCTAGACCCTCTCAGCCCCAGATCTCTGGCACATAGACTTCAGCACCAAGACCCAGCCCCAGGCCTGTCAGAACACAGAACTCTCAGCACCCAGAACTCAGCACACAGACCTCTCAGCACCCAGAACTCAGCACCCAGACCTCAGCACCCAGAACTCAGCACACAGACCTCTCAGTACCCAGACCTGAGCACCCAGATGTCTGAGCACACAGCCCTCGGCACCCAGACCTCGGTTCCATAGCCAGAGGCCTGCCTGGCCCTGGCACTGTCCTCCAGCCCTGGAGCAATGCGGCTGGGTCTCCGTGGTCCAGAATGACCAAATGTCACACAATTCTCTAGGTCCCGGATACCCAATACTTTAGCTCCATGTTGTTCAAACTTTCAGGAACTGATGGGCTAAGCAGTTCGGGGGGAGGCCTGTGGAGCGGATACTGCGTCTGGAAACCGACCCTAATTTGGAGCCTCTGTTGTTTCCCGCTGGGGGTGGGGGTTGGCCAAGATCACCATCAGCTGCGCTCCCTCGGTCCGGCCGCCTCCAGCCCCGCCCCGGCCCCGGCCCCGGCAGCCCCCAGCCCGGTTCCAGGCCTTGGCTATGGCTACCTCCGGCCCCCTCCCCAACCCGACTCCCCGCACCCAGACCCCAGCCCCAGCTCCGGCCCCGGTCCCCGCCACCCACGGCCGCGCTCACCCGCTCCTCCTCCGCGCGGATATCCGGCATGGTGCTCAGGCAGAGGCCCACGGCCGTGACGGCCACGAACGACACGGACACGCAGGCGAACAGCTTGCCCGCCAGCCCCGAGTGCGGGTTGTCCACCACGTCGCGCAGGCGCCGCCGGCCGCGCTGCAGCCGCCCCCGAGGCCCCAGGGTGGGCGCCGGGCTCCCCTGCGTCCCGAGCTCCGCCGGCCCCGCGCGCGCCTCGGCCGCTTCTTCCTCTCGGCGGCGCAGGCGGCGCAGGCAGCAGCGCTCCAGGCGCGCCTCGTCGATGCCCCAGTAGGCCAGCTCGTCGCGGAACGCCAGCGCGCACGGGCCCCGCAGCAGCCGCAGCTTCCCCGCGCGCAGCAGCGCCACGATGGCGCGGAAGGCGCACGGGCTGCGGTCGAAGAAGAACTCGTCGCGGCTTACGTCGTAGTCGTCGCACACGCGCAGCAGCTCGTCGTGGCCGCGGCAGGCGCGCAGGCGCTCCAGGCGCGCGAGGGGGCATCGGGCCAGCGCGGCCCAGGCCAGGCGCACGCGGCAGCCGCCCACGTTGATGATGACGTGCCGGGCGCGGGTCCCACCGCCGCCGCCGCCCGCGGAACAGGGCCATGGCTCCATGCGCCGGGCCGGACCGGACCGAGGGGCTCCCGCTGGGCTCCTGCAAAAGGAAAGGAGCGCGTTAGGGCCGCGAGGGCTGAGCTGGGGGAGCGCGTCCGCCCGCGGGGATCCAGGGGCCGGCCGGCAGCGAACCCTCGGAGGTGAGCTCTGAGACGCCTCCGCCCGCCCACTGGCCGCTCCTCCGCAGGCCCGACCCCTGCACCTGCCCCGCGTGGGGGACCCTCAGGAGTCCGGCGGACCCCGCCAGGTTGTGGACCCGCCTTGAGTTATCGCCAGGAGAACAGCTGGGTTCTCACACTACGGGTTTGGAACCAGGGGTGGAACGGAGCTTTCAGAAATCCACTCAAACTCCAAAGAGCCAGATGTTTCAGGGCGGACCCCACCGACCAGTGAGGACGCCGCGATGTCTGGCCGGAGAGACGCAGTCCCAGCTTAGTTTCCCACGGTGTGCCCTGCGAAGTAACCACGTCGGAATCAGCCAGGGGACCTGCTGGAAAACGGCGCTCCTGGCTCTGTGAGGCGGAGAAACTGCAGAATATGGAGCTCCAAAAGTCCATCCCTACCTGAACACAATGAAAAACCTGGTAAAAACTGTCAAGAGTCAGCTTTTTTGGAACTCTGGAAACTAACCAAAAGCTTGCACCAGCTGTGGGGCACTGAGAAAGAACAGCTGAGTCTCGGTCACAATAATAAGCTTTGTCGCCATTTAACATACCCTGCTCCCCAGCGCCACGACAGCCTTGAAAGCAACAGCCTGCATTCCCACTACCAGTAGCAGCACTGGAAGGGGAAGCTACAGGCCTCATTCTTGAGGAATCGTAATTACTGTGGCTCCGTGGAAGGCTCTGCCTTCATCTCCGGTTTCTTGGAAGTCTGTCTGTGCAAAGGCAGCCACCTGGGGAGTGTGCGTCAAAAGCGTTGATGGGAAAGTGTTTTAGCCATTTGCTGCCTCAGGGTTATAGTTGGGACCACAGGTAGACAAAAAGCTGGGGATGAAAGGCTGGGGAATGAGTGATTTCGGAAATAAGGGCTTGATAAGGTTCTAAGAGCTCCCGGAAGTCTGGAATGCCACGCACATGCCGGGAAAATCCCGAGAAGGCCCTGAAGTCCCTCCTGGGACTGACCTTCAGATTCTGCGAGCAGGAGGTGATAAGACAGAGGCTTGACCAGCCTGGCTGAGTGCTGAAGGTGGCTCCAAGACACACAGCCCATCTGCAAAACCAAGTTTTAATTTTCATTCCAGACGTTTAATAATCTATGTTGTATCACTTGCTGCCCTCTAAGCTAATGGAACAGACATCAGTGGCCACATCAGACAAAGAAGATGAACTTTACAAATTTGGTTCACAAAAGTTAACAAACCACAGCAGCTACAGAAAATCCTGGGGAGAGGGGAGTCTGATTTCAACAACTGCCACTTATTAAAAATCTTGTTTTCAACAAAAAATTACAAGGCATGCAAAAAATACAAGAGTGTAGCTCATAGACAGGAAAAAGGAACTAAAACACAATATCTCTGAAGAAACACAGATATTGGACTCACTAGGCAAATACTTCACATAAGCTTGTTTAATATCTTCAAAGAGCTGGAGGAATTTGTGAGAACGATCTCTCACCAAATAGAGAACATCAATACAGAGACAGAAGTTATAAAAAAAAGTGATGGAAATTCTGGTGTTGAAAGACACTAGCTGAAATGAAAAGCTCATTAGAGGGTCTCAGCAGCAGCTATGAACACACTGAAGAAATAATCAGAGAAATTGAAGATGCATCATTTGATGGTATCCTATCCGATGAGCAGAAAGAAAACTGAACAGAGCCTAGGAGACCTGTGGGACCATCAGATGTACCAACTTTTGCAAGATGAGAGTCCTGAAAGGAAAGAGAGAACGGGGAAGAAAGAATACTTGAAGAAATATGGTTTTAAAAAACCCTCCAAATTTGATGAAAAACATCAATCTACACATGTAAGAAACTCAACAAACTCCAAGTAAGATAAATTCAAAGACATCCACACTGACGCACCACAAACTGTCTAAAGACAAAGACCCAGCACAGTGGCTTACGCCTGTAATCCCAGCACTTTGGGAGCCTGAGGTGGGTGGATCATCTGAGGTCAGGAGTTTGAGACTAGCCTGGCCAACATGGCAAAAACCTCTCTCTACTAAAAATACAAAAATTAGCCAGGTGTGGTGGCAGGTGTCTGTAGTCCCAGCTACTCAGGAGGCTGAGGCAGGGAGAATTGCCTGAACCTGGGAATGGAGGTTTCAGTGAGCCGAGATCACGCCACTGCACTCCAGCCTGGGTAACAGAGTGAGACCCCATCTCAAAAAAAAAAAAAAAAAAAAAAAAAAAAAGAGAAAAGAAAACAGAGGCAAAATCCTTCACAAAAGAAGAGCAAAATAAATCCAGCTTCATATTAAAAGGTTTATACATGATGACCGTGTGATCATTTACCACAGAGATTTATCACAGGAATACAAAGGTGGCACAGTATGCAAAAATTAATATAATATGCATATTTATAGGGTGAAGGGAAAAAATCGTGATAATTTCAATAGATGCAGAAAAAGGATTTGACACAGTCTAACATCCTTTCATGATTAAACAAAAAACTCAGTAACTAGGACTAAAAGAGAACTTCCTCCACACGACAAAGTCCACGTAGGAAAAACTCACTGCTAACTTCATAGTCAACTGTGAAAGACTGGATTCTTTCCCCTAGGACCAGGAGCAAGACTGAAATGCCTGCTGTCATGAGTTCTACTTAACATTGTTCTGGAAATTCTAGTCAGAAAAATTAGGCAAGAAAAAGAAAGAAAAGGCATCCAGACTCAAAAGGAAAAAGTAAAACTATATTTTGAGGTGACTTGTTCTTATGGTCTTATGTACAGAAAACCTTAAAGAACACACACACACACACACACCCCACTATGAGAATGGGTTCAGCAAAATTGCAAGACGTGAGATCAGTATAAAAAATCAGTTGTATTTCTATACAAAAGCAATGAATAACCAGAAAAGGAAGTTTTAAAAATTCCATTTATAAGAGCACCAGAAAGAATAAAATGCTTAGGAATAAATTTAACCAGGGAGTGGAAACTGAAATCTACACTGAAAACTGAAAACCACAAACATTGCAGGAAGAAATTTTGAGACTAAATAAATGAAAAGACATTCCATGCTCATGTATTAGAAGACCTAATATTGTTAAAATGGCATTCTTCCTTAAGTTGATCAACAGAGTCAATCCAATCCATATGAAAATCTCAGTAACTTTTTTGAAGACATTGACAAATTGAGCCTAAAATTCTATTGGAAATGCAAGGTAGCCAAAACAATCTTGACAAAGAACAAAGTTGGAGGGCTCAAACTTACTTGATATCATTTTATTACATGCCTCCACCTAAATCTTGAATATCGAAATGAGATATGTTCTTTTAAAAGTGTGTGGTACCTACCCCCAACCTTGTTGTTGCTTTCACCATGTTAGGTGCCTGCTCCCCCTTTGCATTCTGCCGTGACTGGAAGCTTCCCAAAACCTCCCCAGAAGCCAAGCAGACATTGGCACCAGGCTTTCTTCACAGCCTGCAGAGCCGTGAGCGAATTAAACCTCTTTTCTTTATCAATTACGCAGTCTCAGGTATTCCTTTCTGGGAATGTGAACATGGACTAGTCCATTACTGCTTTCTCAAGCTAAGTCTAAAGCTACGGCAGTCGAGAGTGTAGGACTGGCGTAAAGAGAGACACAAACATCAATGGAGCAGAATCCAAAGTCCAGAAATGACCCATGAGTCCACCATCCGTTCATTTTTGACAAGGTCGTCAAAACTATTCAATGGAGAAATAATAGTGTCTCCAACAAACAGTTATCCACATATAAAAAAATAAAGTTGGACCCTGCTATCGTTTGGATGTTAGCCTCCAAATCTTATACTGGAATTTGATACCCAATGTCAGAGGTGGGGTCTAATGGGAGGGGTTTGGGTCATGGGGGCGGATCCCTCACGCATGGCTGGGTGGTATCTTCGTGGTAATGAGTGAGTTCTCGCTCTATGAGTTCACTCCAGAGTTGGCTGTTGAGCCCGCCTGGCACCCCAGCCCTTCCTTCCTCTGTCTCCGTGTGGTCTCCACACACAGCAGCTCCGTGCCATCTTCTGCCATGACTGGAGCTGCCTGTGGCCTTCCTCAGATGCAGATACCTGATCTTGAACTTTTCCAGACATCAGAATCATGAGTCAATTAAACCTTCTTTTAAAAATGAATTACCTGGCCTCAGGTATTCCTTTATAGCAACACTGAATGGACCAAGACAGGTGCCAACATCACACTATCTATAAAAACTAATTCAACCTACATCAAAGACCTTAATGTAAGAGCTAAAACTCCAAAACACACGTAGAAGAAAAGAGAGTGTACATCTTCATGACCGTGGATGAGACATTGATTTCTGAAACAGGATGCGAAAAGCACAAGGAACAAAAGAAAAAAGATAAATTGGACTTCATTCCAATGAAACTCTTGTATATCAAAGAACAGCACCAGGAAAATGAATGACAAGTAACAGTGGGAAAAAAAGAGCTGCAAGTCACATATCTGATAAGAGTCCAGTATCCAGGATGTTAGGAACTCTCGCAGCCCAGCAACAAATGACAACCCAAATGACACATGGGCAGAGGATTTGAACAGATATTTCTCCCAAGGAAATATGTGAATGGCTAATAAGCACATGAAAAGGTGATCAATATCGTTAGTCATTATGGAAACGTAAACTAAAACTACAAGATATCACTTCACATCCACTAGGGTAGTTATAATCAAACAAACGGAAAAAAAAAAAACCCAACAAGTGTTGGAAAGATGTGGAAAAATTGGATCCCGGTACGTCGCTGGTGGGAATATAAAATGTCACAGCCACAGTGGAAAACAGTCTGGCAGTTCCTCAAAATTTTAAACGTAGAGTTCTCGTGTGACCTGGAGACCCCACTCCGAGATATACACTCGAGAAATGAAAACCTGTGCTCACACAAAAACCTGTAC